TACAATTTAGCACACGTTATCATGTTACTTCCTCGTCTCAGTCAATGGGCCGCCATCTAGCAGTCTCATAAGCCGGAAACCTGAACATAATGCCTGTTCTTCCTCTCTCGACTCCCTTATCAAATTAGTCACCAAATCCTGTACAGGCTCCTAAATATTTCTCAAGTCCTTGCCCTTCTCTTCACTCACTACCATCACCTGGACAACTGGGCCCGCCTTCAATCTCTCTAAATTCAATCCAGTCTTACTGGTGACCAGGGTAGCCTTTTAAACCATAAATCTGATGATGTCCTCCCCTGTTTAAACACTCTGGAAGGCCTTTGTTGCTTTCAGGATAAAGTCCAAACTCCTTAACTTGACACTGTTCAACCTTGGTGCTTACATCAGCCTTTCTAGCTTTTATCTTTTGTTCCAGCTACACAAAATGCTACTTAATGTTCTTTGAACACACATTTTCTTGGCTCTGAGCCCTTCTCTCTTTATCTCATTGGCCAATACCTACTCATTCTACAAAGCCCAGTTTGAATGTCATGTTCATTTTATTCATTCAACTAATATTTCTTAAATTTCCCTGTGCCTTCACAATGTTGTAATCCTGTAGTACTTCCGTGCCTCTTACTGTGTAGTAACTGTATTTGTGTGTCTGACTCCCTGAGCTCCTTGAGATCAAGTCCTGTTCCTACTCATACACTCCATATTCCTAGTATCTAGAATGGTGCCTGACATATAGTTATAGAAGCAAAGTTAAAAATGTATCAAACAAATACTAACATAGTGCTGACTATGTGTCAGATACTGTTCTAAGCATTATCTCCTTTAGGCCTCTAACAACCCTTTGAAATAGACTGTTATCCAGCCATTTTATCTATGAAAAAACTGAGGCACAGAGGAGTTAAGTAACTTAACCCAAAATCATAACTCAGTAAATTAATCCTAATCTAAACATTTTGTATGGTCTCTGTGGCGGACAGAATAATGGCTCCCTAAAAATATTCACATTCTAATCCCCAGAACCTATAAATATGTTACCTTCCATGACAAAGGGGACCTTGAAGGTGTCATTAAATTAAGAACAAAGCCCAGTTTGAATGTCATGTTCATTTTATTCATTCAACTAATATTTCTTAAATTTCCCTGTGCCTTCACAATGTTGTAATCCTGTAGTACTTCCGTGCCTCTTACTGTGTAGTAACTGTATTTGTGTGTCTGACTCCCTGAGCTCCTTGAGATCAAGTCCTGTTCCTACTCATACACTCCATATCCCTAGTATCTAGAATGGTGCCTGACATATAGAAGCAAAGTTAAAAATGTATCAAACAAATACTAACATAGTGCTGACTATGTGTCAGATACTGTTCTAAGCATTATCTCCTTTAGGCCTCTAACAACCCTTTGAAATAGACTGTTATCCAGCCATTTTATCTATGAAAAAACTGAGGCACAGAGGAGTTAAGTAACTTAACCCAAAATCATAACTCAGTAAATTAATCCTAATCTAAACGTTTTGTATGGTCTCTGTGGCGGACAGAATAATGGCTTCCTAAAAATATTCACATTCTAATCCCCAGAACCTATAAATATGTTACCTTACATGACAAAGGGGACCTTGAAGGTGTCATTAAGTTAAGAATCTTTTTTAAGGAACTAAAAAAGAAATGTGTTTATTGAGGATACAATCAATATAAAAATCAAAAGCTTATCTGGCTTTAATTGGCTTTTCCTTCTCATGTGGAATGAGGATGGGCTTTTATTTGTACATTTTCTAATATTCCCAATCTGTTCATGAAACTTATAAAGAGGAAGCTGTGGGGCAGAGATTCCTTAAGCAACCACTGGGAGAACCGTTATCAGGGTGGGAGAACTGCTCAGTGCTGCCGACTCCTTCCCCTTCGGCTTCATGTGTGCTGCAAGATTGTCATCGCCTGCCATGGTGAGCCCAGCAACTAGTGAAAAGAAGTTCTAGAAGCCCACTCTGCCCTCTCTGCACTGCTCCAGGTCCTTCGTTATTTTGTCCACAGCCAGAAGGTCTTTTTGATTTTCCAAAAATCCAGAGAAGTTTTCCATGAGTACTCTCACTTCCTCCTTTGCTTAGTAGCCTTTATCCCCAGCAATTTTGTGAAATGTGAACATCCTGGTTTCCATGGGGTGTTCCATTTGAGAAGGCACTCTGGTGAGGTCTTGGAGGAGATGATGCGGGATCGCTGAGCTGGCTGCGACCCACGGCCAGTGCTAAATTACGGATCTTGAGATGGGGAGGTTATTCTGGATTATCCAGGCGGATTCAATGTAGTCACAAAGATCTTTACAAAGGAAAGCAGAAGAGTGGGGAAGAGGTCGGCTAGACTATAGAAAAGGTCAGATGTGAGTTGTGATTCAATGTGAGAAGCACTCCACTCACCCTTTGAAGACAGAGCAAAAGGGCCACAGCTACGGAATAAAAAGAGCTCCAGCATGGGCAGGTGGGTCAGTTGGTTGGAACATCCTCCCATACAACAAAAAGGTTGTGCCCGGTCAGGGCACATACCTAGGTATTGAATTCCATCCAGTTAGGGCATGTATGGGAGGCAAGCAATCAATGTTTCTCTCTCACATTGATGTTTCTCTCTTGACCTATTCCCCTCTCTCTCTAAAATCAATAAAACATGACCTTGGGTTAGAATTGAAAAACAGCCCTAACCGGTTTGGCTCAGTGGATAGAGCGTCGGCCTGCGGACTCAAGGGTTCCAGGTTCGATTCCGGCCAAGGGCATGTCCTTAGTTGCAGGCACATACCCAGTAGGGAGTGTGCAGGAGGCAGCTGATCGATGTTTCTCTCTCATTGATGTTTCTAACTCTCTATCCCTCTCCTTTCCTCTGTAAAAAAATCAATAAAATATAAAAAAAGAAAAGAAAAATAAAACAAAACAAAAAAAAACTTCAAAAGCTAGAATAGACAAGACAACAGAAGCTTTGGAGCTTCCAGAAAGAAACAGAGCTCTGCAAACACTTTGATTTTAGCCCAGAGACACCTATTTCTAACTTCTGAACCACAAAACTGTCATGTGTATTTTGCTGAAACAGGAGGATGTGACCACTGAATGTATTACCCAGCAGGTGGGGGGGGGGTCAGTGGGGGTAAAGAGTGAGATCAGAGGGCCAAGCCCTTGTGGAGGGAATGAAAGCCAGCCCCACCCCCATGCACATATCCACAAACCCCCTCAAATAAAGCAGGCTGAACCACAGTACATAAAATAATGTGTGTGGTTTTAAGCCATTATATTTGTGACAGTTTGTTACAGCAGCAATAAGAAACTAATACAGCCCTAGCTGATTCTGCTCAGTGGATAGAGTGTCAGCCTGTGGACTGAAGAGTTCCGAGTTCAATTCAGGTCAAGGGCGCATGCCAGGATTTCGGGCTCGATCCCCAGTACGGGGCCTGCAGAAGGCAGCTGATCAATAATTCTCTGTCCTCATTGATGTTTCTAACTCTCTATCTCTCTCCCTTCCTCTCTGTAAAAAATCAATAAAATATATTTTTTTAAAAACTTAAAAAAAAGAAACTAATACAGTCTCAAATCAAGGGCACCATCTCTATGCTAACAAGTGGGAGGGGGCTCCTTGCTAGCGGTACAAGGTTCTCAGTTGCATCCACCCCAACATCTCCATCCCAGGCATCAGGGTCCTACTCCCTACCCACAGAACTATGACTTTAGCACAAGAGACCAGTCCAAGGATCTCTGCCCCCCTCGAAGGCACATGCTCACCTGGTTTTCACACGGTGCTCTCCCCCGGAGGGGAAAAGGGTTTTAAAAAGTCTCCCATGAAGGTCTCTGGATTTCCTACCATGTCCTGAATTGGTAGGTAGGTAACTGAGCCTGAAATTCTCGTTTGTTTGGGCTTTTAAGGTAGTTAACAAAATCCAGAAAATTCCATGAAATTATAATTGACATCACCCCATACCATTCCAGTGTTACAGCATGAATTATCAATGGGGGTGGTATCTCCCCAAGGAAGTGAAAACTTGTTTTTAAATGGACAAAAAAGCATCTTAAATATTACAATAGTTTGGGGTCTCCAAAGTCCAACCCTATTAGACAAAATCTTATTTCTTAGTATTTAATCTCTCTGGCTAGGGATGCACATTACTTTACAGTTCTGTGGTTCATTTTATTTGATTTTATTGGGATATAATTGATTTATCACACTGATTAGTTTAGGTGTACAAATGATCTGATATATGTATATATGCAAAATGATTGCCACCCTAAGTTTAGTTAATATCCAGCACCACATATAGTTACAATTTTTTTCTCATGGTGAGAACTTTTATTAATATTTATGTTTTTATTTCAGAGAGGAGAAGGGAAGAGAGAAAGAAACATCAGTGATGAGTGAATCATTGATTGGCTGCCTCCTGCACATCACACCCCCTACTGGGGAATCCAGCCTGCAACTCTGGTAGGTGCCCTGACCTGGAATTGAACCCTGACCTCTTGGTTCTGGGTCGACACTCAACCACTGAGTCACACCAGTCGGGTGTGATGAGAACTTTTAAGATCTATTCCCTTAGCAGCTTTCAAATATACAAAACAGTACTGTTAACTGTGGTTGCCATGCCACACATTACATCCCCAACACCTGGTTTATCTTGTAACTGGGAGTTTGTACCTTTGACCACCTTCACACCTTCTGCCCACCACCCCCACAAACCTGAGATACTATCAATGTAATTTTTCCCCATAGGAAGGCAATATTTTTTTTAAAAAGCTTAAGAATTCCGATGCTAGAACCACTGCATAATCTAATGTGCTCCTCCCACTTGTCCTTCCAGTCTCCCACAGGTGAAGAGCTCAGCATCTCAGGGGCTGTCACTGCTCAACTGCCCAACAGAGTCCTTGCTGCCACCTGGTCAGGGAACGACTCCATTCTAGAATCCGCTCCTGAGATGTTCGCTCTGGGCTGACTTCCGGTGCCAACTGCCAACGTTTAGGTTTCCCACAAAGCAGAGCCTGAGAGACACACTGGGGTGCAGGTTGTTTATTTGGGAAGTAAGCTGAGGAAAGGGGCGTGAAGCGAGGGAAAGGAAAGGTCAATGTAGAGTGAGTTACTGAGGGTCTCGCTTCTGCCAGAACCTCGGAGAAGCTTACAGAATGCCTCCCAGAACAGACCGCCTGAAAGATGCAGACTTTTACCCACTGGCTTCCACCTCGTTGGTAAGGTGTTCCCAAGGCTGTTGTCTCCCCTGGACTCTGTGGCTTTGCTTGCAGATGTCAGAGAAGATCCTAGAGCAGAATTTTAAAAAAAGAAAATGTTAGGTATATACTTGAGGTGACAGCTTAGCAGCAGGAGGAGAGTTGGAACTGTCCCCCACAATTGTGGCCGCAGTCGGAGGTGGGCTAAGGAAATGTGACAGCAAGTACCAGAAATACCTGCTACAGACTAAACAGGTTTCAATTATGGGTTCACATCGCAAAACCAACCTTTTTCCAAACTACTCGAGTCAACACACTCCTACCAGTAATGTATGAGAGTTCCAGTTATTTCGCATCCCCATCAATACTTGGTATCATCCATCTTTATTATCTCAATCCCTCAGTTGGTTATGTGGGGATTGATTACTAACACGGCTGAATTAGACCAAGTTTGTGGTCATTTGAATATTCTCTTTTGTGAAGTGTCTGTTCATATCTTTTGCTCAGGTGTTTAAAATCAACTTTATTGAGGTACAATTTACACATAATAAAAATATACCTACTTTAAGTGTTTAGCTTGATGAGTTATGGCAAATGTATATCTTTTGTAAACACTGTCACCCCTTCTGACACAGGAAGTTCCCTTGTGCTTCTTTGCAGTCAGTCCCCTCCCCCCACACCCTCCCCTCCCCCAGCAATTAATGATCTGCTTACTGTCACCTTAAGCTAATTTTGCCTATTCTAGAATTTCATGTAAATGGAACCATACAGTATGTACTTTTTGTGTTTGGTTCCCTTCATGCAACATAATATTTTGGAGACCGTCCATGTCGTTTCATGTGTCAGTCAGTACTTCTTCCTTTTTTGTTGCTGAGTAGTATTCCATTACATAGATATACTACAACATGTTTATTCAATTATTGATCGAATTGCAAGTTTGGGGCTATTATGAACAAAGCTACTATGATCATTCGGGCACAAGGCTTCGTGTGGGTATATATATGTTTTCATTTTTCTTGGGTGTGAAATGGAAAGGTTGTAGGGTGAGTGTATATTTAACTCTAAGAATTGTTAAACTGCTTTCCAAAATAGCCATGCCATACAGTGTCCTTTTGACAGGTCCCCATCATTCTTTGAGCACTTCCTTGCTTTTTGGTCCACAATGTTCTAGGCCAGTGATGGCGAACCTTTTGAGCTCGGCGTGTCAGCATTTTGAAAAACCCTAACTTAACTCTGGTGCCGTGTCACATATAGTAATTTTTTGATATTTGCAACCATAGTAAAACAAGGACTTATATTTTTGATATTTATTTTATATATTTAAATGCCATTTAACAAAGAAAAATCAACCAAAAAAATGAGTTCGCGTGTCACCTCTGACACGTATGTCATAGGTTCGCCATCACTGTTCTAGGCTCTTCTTATCCTTTACCCAGCCCTCAAATCAGCCATTTCTCCAAAGAGTTCTGATTCCTTTCATTGAAGAAGAGAATGCAGAACCCAAAATCTATGCACCAAGTGAGCTCATTACTGTGGAATGGCACTGTTCTCAGTGGCTCTCAGTCTATCTAAGACTCCAACACAACTCACTCTCGCTCTCCTTCTGGTATTCATTCATTCATTCATTCATTCAGTGTGTGTGTGTGTGTGTGTGTGTGTGCGTGTGTGTGCGTGTGTGTGTGTGTGTGTGTGTGTGTGTGTGTGTGTTTCCTTCTGGCCTTTAAAAAGCATGCCACCATGAGTTCTATAGCTGCAAGAAAATGAATTCTGCCCACAACTTGAGGGAGCTTGGCAGCCTCTGATGAGAATGCAACCCACTAACCCCATGATGTAGCCTTGTGAGAGAGACCCTGAGCAAAGAACCAGACCCCGAACCGCAGAAATTGAGATAATAAGCATGTGTCGTTTTCAGCCACTAAGTGTGATATTTGTTACTGAGCAATAGAAAGCTAATACAGGAGGGTAGGAAAGGCAGCTCCAAGGATTAGAAGCCTCAGCATTTGTGAAGGCTGCTGCAGCTGTGGCTGCTGGGAACAGTTAGGGAGACGGGGGTGTTTTGGGGGTTTTTTTTTGCAGTACTATCTCAGTGGGCAGTCACTAACTTTGTGGGTGTCTAGATGCACTGTGTTATGTATTTTTTAAAATACATTTTTATTGATTTCAGAAAGGGAAGGAGAGGGAGAAAGAGATAGAAACATCAATGATGAGAAAGAATCATTGATCAGCTGTCTCCTGCACGCCCCCCACTGGGGATTGAACCTGCAACCTGGGCCTGTGCCCTGACTAGGAGTTGAACTGTGACCTCCTGGTTCTAGGTCGATGCTCAAGCACTGGCCATGCTGGCCAGATGTTGTGTATTCTTAAACATCCCTCAGACATTGGTGGGCTTCCCCCGCCTCCCTGATTGTGCTGGAGAGGTCACGTAGGCAGTGTTGTTCTGTGAGTTATTCCTGGAGTTCCAGTCTACAACTCACGCCTCTGATATTTGCAACAACATTATAAGGACCTCATTTCTCTTTAAATCATTTTTGACTGACAATAGCTAGAGTGATTTCTGTTTCCTGCACCTGACGCTTAACCGATATACCCACCTTTGCTTGAGGTAGTTTAAAAGGCTTCCTGTTCCTTGCAGCCAAGTGATACTAATCTAAGATACCCATGGGGCACTACGAGTTTACTGTTGTGACGAGGGGTGGGAAACTGCAGAGCTCGGTGAGGCTGCGCTAGGGTTAATTCGTTCAACCAACACATTTCACTCATTTCCTGCTCTGTGTCAGGCCCTGGAAATACAGGTAAGTCATTCATACCCCTGCCTTCAGAGAACTCAAAAGCTAGTTGGGGAGACAAACACACATAGGAAAAATAGCAGCACAGCATGTTGTGACCCGTAAAAGGAAAGAAATAGGATAGTGGGAGCCCAGCAACAATCCTGCCTTCCCAGCAGTATGAGGAGACGGCGTTTAAGTGGGTCTTGCAGGATGAGTGAGCCTACAAAAGAGGAAGAGAGAAAGACCTCGCCGCCCATGAGCCTGTGGAACTAAGAGTGAGTCGGTCACTTTAAATGTGTCATTCCACTTAGCCCTCACAACATCCCCATAGGTCGGGATTATTATCTCCTTTTTACAAATAACGAGGGTGGGCCAATGTCACACAATTGAATATAATAGGAAACAAGCTCAGAGGACCCACTCTGGATGGGGAAAGCACAAAAATATTGACTTCAGGGTATGCAATCGCTTGAAGGATCATTGCCAGTGCTAAAGACTCCAGGCTGAGCTTCCAGGAGTGAAGCTGCGGCCCTGCCACCATCGGAAGGCCCCTCTTAAGGCGAACAGCCCCAGAACCCTGCCATCTCCACGGCAGTTCACGTCAGCACACCTGGTTACCTACTGTCCTGCCCCCCTCCTCCACTCAGTTCCAAACTCAAGTCTTGCAAGAGTGCATCTGCCTGTGGATGCTCCCTAGAACAAGTCTGGGAATATGATTTGGTTTTCCAGCCTCCAGTACAGGAAAACATACCAGAAGGCAGTTGGACTGGACACTGAGGGAACCAATCCAATTTCTGCCACATTCAGTTTGAGGAACTTAAGACTATTCCTTCAACAAACACTAAAATGATTGCTAATGTCAATCGTGTGTGAAAACAGACATTCTCATACACTATTGGTGGAAGTGTAAAATGATATAAATCTACTGGAAGGTACTGTGACGGCATCTAATAATATTAAAAGCATGCATCTGCTATGACCCCGCAATACTGCTTTTAGGAGTCTGTCCTACCAAGAAAAGAACAGCAAAAATGTTTAAGAATGTGTATTGCAGCATTGTAGCTACATAAATCTGGTATCAACCTAAATATCCATCAATAGGTGACTGATTAAATAAATAAATGATACAACCATACAGCAGAATATTATACAGGCATTAAAAGGAATTATATTTTATTAAAGGCGTGGGGTGACACTGGTCAACATGATCATATAGGTTTCAGGTGTGGGTTTCTATGTTATAAGATCTGTATATTGATTGCACTGTGTGCCCACCACCCAAAGTCAAATCTTTCTCTGGTCACCGTATATTAGGACCCCACTTCTCTTCTAAAAGGAATTAAATGGATCTCTATATATTGGCCTGAAACGATGTCCTTTACATGCTGTTGAGTGTAAAAAACACAAGTTGCAAGCGGTTTGTATAACATGATCTCATTTTTTTAAAAAATGGAGGTAAGGTACCTCTACACAATGGAATACTACGCTGCTGTAAAAAGGAAGGAACTCCCTTGGATGGATGGGCCTGGAGAGCATTATGCTAAGCGAAATAAGTCCGTCAGAGAAAGAGAAATATCACATGACCTCACTCATTTGTGGAATATAATGAGCAACATAAACTGATGAACAAAAACAGATCCAGAGACAGAGAAGCATTGATCAGACCATCAAACCTCAGAGGGAAGGTAGGGGAAGGTGGTGGTCAGGGGGAGAGATCAACCAAGGGACTTGTATGCATGCATATAAGCCTAACTAAAGGGCATAGACACCAGGGGGATAAGGGTATGAGGCGGGGTGGGCAATAGAGGGATAAGGACACATATGTAATACCTTAATCAATAAAGAAAACTTAAAAAAATAAATAAATAAAATGGAGGTAAAAGATATGTCAGTATAAGTACCGGAAAATTGTCGATAGCATTAACATACAAAGACGTGCCTCTGCTGCAGGACACTGTACAGGCCTTGCTGGAGCATCTGTGAGGGAGAGGGTGGGAAATGAACTCACAAAAAATTCAAGACCCAGGTGCCACCATAAAGTTTTTGGGAGTCATTTGGCCGGGAGCCCTCTCTGTTAACCCTTTGCTCTGACAGTGGGCTGTTCTACAGGGATTAATGCTATGGCTTGGAAAATGGGGAGCTAAGGGGTAGATGATCATGACTAAGGCCTTGCAGGGAGGGGCAGGGTATGTGGAAAGACAGTGGAGTTTGTCTGCAAGAGCCTGAGGCAGTCCTCACGGTTTTCCACATCCTGGCTCATAGGTGCTGGTAGCCTCCAGCAAGCAGGAAGCTGACGCCCTCACTCAGGTATGAGCACTAGCA